ACCGTAGGCAGAGAGGGAGAAGAGGACAAAAAACGAGGGGCTGTGACAGACAGACTGTTTCGTCGGAGTTTCACCTACGGACTCATCAGGAGGAGGCTGAACCCTCAAAAACAGTCTGCAGAATCCCCTACCTAACTGATTACACTGTACATAGTGATAATCCAGCTTAAAGGCTTAACCCCAATTGTGGTTGTGGTTAAGCATCAACGACTGCCCGACAACTGATACGCCCTCTGAGGTGGTGGGGACCACCAACCACTGTCCTCAAGGTACCCGTGACGAAAATCGAAGCAGACTATCACTTACTCGCACCAGATGGAAAACTCTTCAGACTACATATATATACATATATTGTATATATTGTCACACTGTGAATCGGAGCGCAAAGGCGGAAAAAAACAAAACAAGGAAGGGAAAGGAAAAAAGTCAGGAAGGAAAGCCCCTATATGTATTGTATATACAGCCGCCGCTCAACCTACATCCACGTGGGCGGCCTTGTACGCAAGAGGTTCTTTTTGACAGGAGGGGGAGTTGTAAGGAAGAAGATTAAAAACGAATTGAGTTTTTTGTGTTTCTGTTTTTCGCTTTGGCGCTCTGATATCATGTGACAAGATATATGAAACAGTTTGTCACCACCCCCGACGGGCCAGTCCGTCGCAGCCCCCGCCCTCGTTTGTTGTCCTCTCCTCTTCTTCCTCTCTCTGCCTACAGTTCGCCGCGCAGTTCGGTATGCCGTTTTTTTTTTTTTTTTTATACTTCAACGAATGATGTCAGTTGAGTCGAAATTATTGAAACATATGTATCATCCGGTTGAATGCAACCGAATCGAATCGAATCGAATCGAATCGGTGAAATTTTACTTGCAAAATTCGAATTCTTCATCATCGACTTGAGCCGACGAACGTAAGACCATTGTGTGTACATGCGTGTAAGCTCAGTTAGGATAACTACCGTCGTACCCCGAACACAACGCACCCTGGAAATGAGTGTATACGAGCTAGAGTAAGTGTTCCCGACCTGGTACAGCCATAATAATTAGGTTGCGTTGTGTTCGAGGGAAGTCGGTATGATGGAATGGGATAGAATGCCAATCAAATGAAATATTTCATTTGTCGGTTATATATCAAATCAAATCACATCAAATCAAAGCAAATCGGCTGGAACAAAGTTAACCGACAAATGAACACAAGTGAATGGACAGTGTGCAGTCCACGACTAAATGGGCATATTGTCTTTCGTTTTTCCTTTTTCTAGCGGTAGGGGAGGAGTGCGGAGGGGTGGGGAGGAGGG